GGGGGGTGAATCTTTGTTTGATTTACTAAGTACGTCAAAAATACCCCCATCACTGAACGTGAATCGTAAATCAATAAAAAAGAATATTTGCTTATACTGCACTTTGTAGCGCAGACGATGTGTCTGTACACTTACCTATTCGTTTCTTAAGTCGTTATGTCTAACCCTTCTGTGCTTGTGTTCGTCACGCTGTCCACGCTTAGACTGATCAAAAGAAACGGCGCCTTTCATGATTGCTCTTTATTTCTTGTATTTTGTATGCATCGTAACCAGTGACGCTAAGAGTACCAAAAATTACTGTGGGCGGGGCTTAAATTGCATCCACGTTTTAAACACTAGACTGTAGATAGCAAGCAGCAAAAACAAAACAGCGATTATTTTACTTTTCTCATGGTGAGCATCAGGCACTTTCAGAACTATGCAGACGATAAAAGAAACCGTTACCTTCTATACCTTTGCTCTGACTTAATAATACTCTTGCTCGTGATAACCAAATCGTTTCAACTCCAACTTTAATTTTGGTTGATGAAAAGGGTCCCTTAAAGGTGCTTCGATGTAATATATAACTGATACATCTCATCCGCACAAACATATGCGTGATCACAGAGCTTTGCAAACATAGAATTTCGTCTTTGCAGATAGCACTGGTTCGAATCCACAATGTAGCGTTTGTTAACTTGGCATGGTTAGGGAGTTTTCAAGGCTCTTCACTTTTTTGGGTAGGTTCTGTAGTTACTTTCAGAGGTCCCGCCAGAAAAAAAGACTTACAGGGATAACAGGGGCGTTAGACTTATACAACTACTACTACCATTAGATCTACTATAACTACTGAGAGTATCACTGAGATAATTTTGTAACAGTAACAGGTCCTACCTGATTGAAAATTCTTTTCTTTTTCCGTACGAGCCAACCGTGACGTTTTTAGTATTAGGTTTCATCCCCAAATGTAACTGGATAAGCAAAATAGACACCCAGCCCCTTTAACCCTACATACATACATAAACACACACTCACAGACACACACATACACACACATACACACACACATACATACACACACATACACACACATACACTCACATATACAAATAACAGGAACATTCTTATAAATTGCCAAGGCAATCACAGTTGAGAAACAAAAGGAAATAAAGAATTTAAAGGGTTTTATTGTTTTCAGACAGGATCCAAGACGTATGAATTGTCTTTTAAAAGACAGAAAATAGTCCAGGAGCAGCACTCATTGAGGAATCTCTTTTGACAAGATTCCACGTCAATAAGGTTGTCAGACTAAAATGCTAAACGCTCACGCTTTATCAAACACAATGCACCGATCTTTAAGAATGCGTCTCTTTTAGCATTCCCTCTCTAAAATACAATATCAAAAACAAAACAAAAATACGTAAGAAGCAAACAAACAAACAAACAAACAAACAAAAGCCCGTCTAATTGTTAATTTTCATTTTTACCCCTCCACTGACTGAATAGAGATGGTTTGGGGGATCTTTAGTAGGACTAAAGAGTAATCCTTTGCATGTCAGTGAAGTGCCTAAACCCAATTTGAAAAATTATCTTTTTAAAACGTTTTGCATAACCGTCTACACAGCCTTTGAGTGAGTTGCTCCAGCGTTCTGTGGTGACTTCAGATTCACTTCACAGCTGGTTCTCGATCCAGAAAAGGAACTCGGACACTCGGACATATACGCTGGGGAAGGTACCGTCGCAGGAACTCACACCCCATGACGTCACGCCGGCTAGATATCCGTCACAGATCATCGGGCCACCGCTGTCACCGCTGCATGAGGATTTGGGCTGCTCATACACGCAGATGTGAGTGTCGTAGATCCTGGCCCCGGGAACGCCATCCCATAGGTCGAGACAATCGGCGTTGGTGATCTTTGTGATGGAAGCCTGTTGGTGGTGAGAGAGAAGGTGAAGTAGAGAGTAGAAGGGGTTAGAGAGGGAGAGAGGACGAGAGGCGCTAGTGGTGGAGTGAAGGCGGTATACGAGGTTTGAGATATATAGATAGATAGATAGATAGATAGATAGATAGATAGATAGATAGATAGATAGATA